CTCCCACCTCCGGAAGAGCTCAGAACACGTTGCGGGGGAGGTGGGGGACATTGTGTCTGAGTGGGCCAAGATCCGCGCTTATATTGTCGAGGCGGCTTATCGGAGCTGTGGCTGCAAGGTTGTCGGTGCCTGTCACGGCAGTAACCCTCAAACCCAGTGGTGACACCGGCAGTGAGGGATGCGGTCAGGCTGAAGAAGGAGTCCCATCGGACCTTTTTGGCCTGTGGGACCCCGGAAGCAGCTGATGGGTACCGGCAGTCCAAGCTCGGGTGGTCGCTGAGGCAAAAACTCGGGCATGGGAGGAGTTTGGAGAGGCCATGGAGAAAGACTTCCATACAGCTTCGAGATGATCTCGTCCACCATCTGGGGGGTCGGGGGGGGGGGGGGAGCGGTATGGTGGTGGTGTGCTGCTGACATAACTCGAGATATCATGGGTCGGTGGGCAGAACATTTTAAAGACCTCCTCAATCCCACCGGCACGTCTTCTACTGAAGAAGTGGAGCCTGGGGACTTTGGGTCGGGCTCTCCAATCTCTGGTGCTGAGGTCATCGAGGTGGTTAAAAAGCTCCTCGGTGGCAGGGCCCCAGGGGTGGATGAGATTTGCCCCGAGTTCCTTAAGGCTCTGGATGTTGTGGGGTTGTGTTGGCTTACACAACTCTGCAATATTGTGTGGACATCGGGGGCAGTTCCCCTGGATTGGCAGACTGGGGTGGTGGTCCACTATTCAAAAAAGGGAACCGTAGAGTATGTTCCAACTACAGGGGAATCACGCTCTTAAGCCTCCCTGGTAAGGTCTATTCAGGAGTTCTGGAGAGGAGGGTCTGTCGGATAGTTAAACCTCAGATTCAGGAGGAGCAGTGCGGTTTTCGTCCTGGTCGTGGAACACTGGACCAGTTCTACACCCTCAGCAGGGTCCCGGAAGGTGCGTGGGAGTTTGCCCAACCAGTCTACATGTGCTTGGTGGACTTGAAGGCGTTTGACCGCGTCCCTCGGGGAGCCCTGTGGGGAGTACTCCGGGAGTATGGGGTACCAGGCCCTTTGATATGGGCTGTTAGGTCCCTGTACGACAGGTGTCAGAGCTTGGTCCGCATTGCCGGTAGAAAGTCAGGCTCGTTCCCAGTGAGAGTTGGACTCCGCCAAGGTTGCCCTTTGTCACTAATTTTATTCATAACTTTTATGGACAGAATTTCTAGGCGCAGCCAAGGTGTTGAGGGGATCCGTTTTGGTAGCCTTAGGATCGGTCCTCGTTTTTTTTTGCAGATGACCGGTGGCCGGGATGAAGAGTAGTTCCTCCAAATCCAAGGCCATGGTTTTGAGCTGGAAAAGGGTAGAGTGTGCTTTCCTTGTCGAGGAGGAGGTCCTGCCCCAAGTGGAGGTGTTTAAGTATCTTGGGATCTTGTTCACAAATGAAGGAAAAATGGAGCGCAAGATCGATAGGCGGATAGGTGCAGCATCGGCAGTGAAGCAGGTGCTGTACCGGTCTGTCGTGGTGAAGAGAGAGCTGAGTCAAAAGGCGAAGCTCTCAATTTACCGGTCGATCTACGTTCCTTCCCTCATCTATGGTTAGGATGCCTCCTGGACGCCTCCCTGGCAAGGTGTTCCGGGCACGTCCCACTGGGAGGAGACCCAGAGGAAGACCAAGGACATGCTAGAGGGACTATGTTTCTTGGCTGGCCTGGGAACACCTTGGAATTCCCCTGGAGGAGCTGGCCCAAGTGGATGGGGAGAGGGAAGTCTGGGCCTCCGTACTTAGCCTGCTACTCCCGCGACCCGACCCCAAATAAGCAGAAGAAAATGGATAGATGGTACTGTTATCAGGGTGGTTCTGTTGGCAGTGAGGTTCTGTTAACAGCGAAGTTCTGTTAACAGCGAGGTTCTGTTAACAGTGAGTTTCTGTTAGCAGTGAAGTTCTTTAAGCAGCATGGTACTGGTGGTAGTGTGGTTCTGTTAGCAGTGTGATGTTAGCCATGTGGTTCTTTTAGCATCATGGCACTGTTAGCAGTGTGTGTTTTTAAGCAGCATGGTACTGTTAGTGTGGTTATGTTAGCAGTGAGGTTCTGTTAGCAGTGTGGTTCTGTTAGCAGTGTGGTACTGTTAGCAGTGTGGTTCTGTTAGCAGTGTGGTCTTGTTAACAGGTCCCATTAGCAGCTTGATGATAATAGCGACCACAGCAACTGTCCTCACAGACTGCCCTCCAGAACCGGGTCCGGCAGACACTGAACATCCAAGGTTTCCCCGTGGAACCGCCAAGCCACCACTAATCAACCTTAGCCAACACAAACATGGCTACAACTTACACTTTTACAGAGATCAAGACCAGCTTTGGTGTGGTGGTAGCCAAGAGTGATCTCAACACATACACTGAGCACTAACAGATTGTGAGAGATCTTTGATCAAAACTCTGGCATTCAAGGTGGCGAGTGATATGCATTCCTTCAAAGATTGACATTTTATTTTCTTTACGCTTTGTAAAAAGAACTCCAAATTACACCAAAATACACATGAAAATGTAAACGTGTGACTTCTAGAGCATTTAGACTATTGAAGGACAAATTGACTTCATTTCATCAAATGAATAGTTTGTATTTGTAATTATTTATTTCTTAACGTGTGTTTTTTTTTTTTTAATCTTTCCTCCTAGTGAGGACCTGCTTGCCTCCATTCTGGACCTGCCATTGTGTTTCTGTTCTTCTTTCCTGTCCTCTCAAACCCAGCCAGTCAAAGCAGATGGCCACTTGTCCTGAGTCTGGTTCTACTGGAGGTTTCTTCCTTATGAGGGAGTTTTTTCTTTCCACCGTCGCCTCTGTGCTTGCTCAGGATGGGAGACTGTGACAAAATGAAGATTCAACGCAATCTGCTGGCTTCCCTACACGACCTTAGATAAATAAAGTCAGGTCAGATATAGCACATTTAAAACAGAAACTATTACCAAAGTGCTTAACAAATAGTGGTCCTCACTGAATTTTTATGTACTCAATTTAAATGTATGCATAATGTGACTTGGCGCTATGTAAATAAACTGAATTGAAAAAAAAAAAGAATATAAATTTAATTGAATTAAGTTGGACAGTATTGTGTTTTATGTCAGGTACGACTTGTTTAAACCAGTATCTTGTTAAACCAGTATGTTTGTCACCCAGTCTGACCTAGATAGATAAAGATTAAAAAATAAAAATAAAAATCACCAAGCTGCAGTTCAAGCAGACACGTTCTTTTCTGTTAGACTGATGATAGTGTCAGAAACAGACGTCTCCCTCAGTTGTTGGAGCAGAAAGTGTCTCACCTGAATGGACCGCTCCCCTGCTGTCAGTAACCACAGCTGCTGCAACATGTCCACGTGTCCACCGCTCCTTCTTCAGGCTTATACAATAGTATCATAAATGTGACGTGAACCCCTGAGGTACTCTGGCTGCACCCACAGACTATCTTCTTAAAAATTTTTTTTAAAAAGGATTCCCCACCGTGGAGCCACGACAGAGATAATCCTGCAATGTCCCAGATCTTCTGTGGGACTGAGCTGCAGTGGGAGCCTGTGATGCACACTTTGGTCAGAGTGGACTTGGTGGGGAAAAGGTGCAAGAGAAGATTTACTGAAGGGCATTGTTCCTAAAAATGCAGGTTATTACTAAGTTTTATTCTATTTATATAGCACCATAATCTCAGAGCACTGATTAAAAACTTTCACATCCATTGTGAAATAATCATCTATCTAAGGAAGCCAGCAGATTGTGTCACTTTGTTACAATTTCACATCCTGAGCAGCATGGAGGCGACAGTGGAAAGAAACATCTCCCTTTCATCAGCAAGAAGGAGCCAGGCTCAGGACGAGCGGACATCTGCGTCTCCTGGATGGAGTTGAAGGACTCTGAGGACGAGGGTATTTTCCACAATAAACATCATGCAGTCTAACTCAAAACACCAAACTCTTTTTAAACTTCCCGTTGCTCGTACAGACATTTAAATCACCGCATCAACTACACGCCTGCAGCAGTGAGCAATAATGTTCTTCCCAGGGTCTGCGTTTGTTCGTCTGTTAGCAAAGTATCTCATGAACCACTGAAAGAATTTCAATGAAACTCTCAGAATGTAATCACTGGGTGAACATCTACAACTGCATAACATCTGGAGTTAATCTAATGTGCAATGACCGCCACAGTTAAGCAATCATAGAAAACGTAAAAAATAGCTATAAATCTGGTAACTGTACAAATATTGTGATAAAAATTGGTGTGGAAGTAGCAGAGAGTCAGTCACAACAAGTAATCTGCACGCTAACCGATTGCACAACTTCTACTAAAAATGCTGCCATTAACTACTGGTGTAAACTGCCGTGTCTGTTAGCAAAATATCTCATGAACCACTAAAGAGATTTTAATGAAACTCTAAGAAAGTAATCTTTGAATGTACAAATGCAAGTGATTAATTTTGGGAGTCAAACCCATTTAAATTTACCGCCACAGCCAACTAAATGTTGGAGTGACAAAAATGGCTACGCCTCGGTCAGATTTAAAGATAGCAAGCTAAAATTTTCTGAGGTAGTAGCTGAGAGTCATCACCAACAAATATTCTTGAGGGCTTACACATCTCCACACAGAACTCCATAATCCCTCAACTTAAAGTTAGTGGGCGATGTGCAGTGCTTCAAAATTTGCTTGAAATTAATCCTGAAGTGTTGTTGGCAAAGCTTAGTGATCATTTGCGTTTTGTTTTGCATTGTAGTGAATATTTGTAGTGTTTGAGCTGCAGGATTTCCAGTTGGACAGAGAGGAGCTCTGATGGAGGAGATGCAGCTCCTCCATCAGAGCTTCAAGCTGAAGACCTCTGCAGACCTCCTCTGCTCTGCACGCTTCATCTCACCACAAATACTCGGGTCAGGTGAGGATGATCGGGTCAGGCAAAGTTTAGAAGTAAATATTTCATGACTGCGTGTCGTTTTCTGCAGCATCGTGAAGCGTGCGCGGTGGGAGAGGCGCCACCCAGCAGCAGGTCTCCACACTTACCCAGCTTTCCCCGGGACTCCTCCAGCTTCTGGATCTGGTTCTCCAGCAAGAACATGGCCACTGCGAACGCCAGCAGCGCCAGAAGCTGCAACTTGGGCGGCATCATGACTCTGAGCAGCCCCATCAAACCATCCACAGAGTGGGGGGGCTCTGGTCACTCCATGACTGGAAACAACCAGCAGCGATCGACGGAGCTCACAAAGCGGCTGAATGGAGGTGCATGACGGCCCTCGCTCAGACTGTGGATGTGTACGGACGCTCAGGTCCTGCACTCCTCTCAAACAGAACGTGCTCCACTTCTCTGTTTGTTACGGACAAAAACGCGTCGCGAAGCCCGAGATATTTCTCCAGAGTACTGGTTTTGTCCCTCAGGGATGTGGGACCGCTGGTACCAGTCACTCCGCCGTAGCTAAGTCCTGTCCCATCCGGTGTGTTCACGGCCGAACCGCGGACAGACTGTCAGTGCCACCCAGTCCATTGGACAGACCAGGAGTCCACCACGCAGCTCCGCTTTCTATTCGTTCGTTTTCATTGCTGTTCAATCCGGATTGGACCGTTTTTACTGATTAACACGGACCGGCCGGTAGATGTCGCTGTTAATTTTCTAAACTCGGTACGAAAGGGCGAGGAAGAATTGTTTTAGGTGACCTTAACTTATGCCTGAAAATAAAAATAAACAGATAATTGAATAAAATCATTTTAATTACTTCTAACAATTACACATGAAAAAAATGTAATTAGATGCTGATATTGTTGCGTTATTAAACGTTAAAATATAAAAATAAAATATTTTATACGCCTTTAAGTGCTCAGGCGAATTTGAGCTTTCCCCGAGTGAAATAATAGAAGTCCCTTCTTGTAGTTTCGCTAACAAAGCAGGTTGTAAAATGTCGGGAGAAGTGTATCTCCTGTGGCTTTTCTCACTACTACAAACGGTAAGTTTTATGTAACTCGGGGGGGAAATACCAGCAAAAAGACGTGTTCGGGATTAAGCCGAGTGGTTTGTGATGTCAGGGTTTTAAGTGTTACGTTCAGTTTTGTAATCCGCATCCTGTTGTTCCGGGAGCTGCTACAAATGACGTGGCTCACTCTTAAAGCTACCAAGATCCATGATGGGAAAATAAGCTGTTCAGGTTGCGCGTCAAAAATAGTCTATTGCTTAAAAACATACTAAAATGGCGAAATATACAATTTTGACGTGCAGAGGCAACCGAAAGAAATAGACTTCCGGTGTCTGCAATTCACTTAACCCGTAAAAATCCTGGCTGTCACTTTCTGTTCCTGTCTAAACTGCTGTAAAAAGACGCGGATTTTTTGTTGGTACCATTTCAATAAAGAAAGAATAGACAAAAGTGAAGGTGCTTCTAGAAAAGATTGAATCAAATTAGGCCACAGGGACATGGTAAACTCAGATGTGCCCAGTGATCATCATCACAGGTGTGTTCAAACATATAATCAGTTATTCTGACTATTTAAAGGGTGAAACAGTCACTGTGCTGTTTGGTATCTCAGTGTTTACCACA